CTCTCTACCACCATCACAAGTGAGATATGATAAAACTCTATATGAATTATGCTCTTAGAACTATCAAGTTATATTCCAATCATTGAATTAGAAAAAGAGTCTCAACTTCTTTTCCAAGTGAATCAACTGGAGTAGAATTGAATTGGGAGTCATATTTTAATTGGAATGAAATAAATTCATCTGATAATTCAATATCTGTGTAAAGAAACAAGATACCATCTCAGTTATTTAGAATTTGCTCAATGATTAAAGACAGTTTCTCTAGTTTAAATGTGGAGAAAATGGTCTTTGAAAATCTCTCTCCTTGGAAGAAAGATCTTGTCAGTCTTATTGGTTGAAATATTAGTCAACTTTCAAAAAAAGTTCAGACTAAACAATATCTAAATGTTCTAAAACAAATGAGACACAAAGCAATTCTTATATACACTGATAGCTCAAAATGTGAGAAAACAGGCAATCTTAGAGCTGGAATAGCATATTCAGAAAATAATAAAAACTATATTCTGGATTCTTGGCAAATTGGAAAAGAGTCAGAAGTTTTTAATGCTGAATTATTTGCAATTTCAAGAGCTTTCAAATTGGTTGAGATGAAGATTGAATAATGGAAAAGATTTGAGCGTATTTAGATATTCTCTGATAGTCAAGTTGGGCTTAAAAGACTTCAAAGTAATAAAATCAGCAGTGGACAGTCAACGCTAGAGATGATTTTGAAAAGTCTTTAAAATATTCAAAGAAAAATCTCATTCAATTGTTCTATTCGTCTTCACTGGGTGCCTGTGGTGGAGTGGAGCCTGTGGCAAGCTCTCTGACTGGTACCGGGGCTGGAGTTTCAGCAGGCCGACTGTGGAATACCAAGTGAAGGCCCCTCCGGAGCTCACCATGCCACGGCATGCCCTTCACCGCTGGCTCGCACTCCGCTCCTCGCATGGGGACTTCTCCTGGTACCACAGGCGTTTCCAGCATGCAGATGCGAGGCTCACCTGGGTCTGTGGACACAACAAGAGCCCAGAACATTTGGTGCTCTGTCGACACTCACAGAGGCACTTTCTTCACTGGCCCAAGAGGCCAGCAGCACGGCCACACAACCGGGCGACAGCTGTTGCCTATCTAGGGTCTCTGACCCCTACAGACTTTGTAGAACTGCTGGACTGCACGCAGTTCTACACACGGTACTGCACAAGGTAACGCAGCCGGCTGGCTGCAAACCATCTGACAACCACCGCAGCAGTTCCACGAGGCCGGCCTGCTGAGTACACCCACGGTAGCTAGTGCAACTGCCAGGGACATCACAGTCTATGCAGACAGTACAGATAGCACAACTAGGCTCATCTGTCTCAATTATCTGTGGTGTAATCAGTACGGTCTACGTGTCTGACTCAGCTGATATGGTTTTGACTGCCGGCATTGTATCTACGCGTACTCTGCTTTGTTTTCCTCTCGTTTGCCCTTGTCTCTATCGGCTCAAATGCTTCTTCTTCCTTCTTTTCTTTGCTCTCTCTTCATTCTCTGCTCTTTTCCTCCTCTCTTCTACCTTCTTCAGTGCTCTCCCCTCTCTTTTCCCCCGGCCTGTAGCACGCTATCACGTGACTGCAAGGTGTTGC